AAAATGTTTATGGCTCACTGAGCTGAACCTATCCTGGCCCGAGACAGAAGCGAAATTGCTGAATGTGAGGTAATCGGTTATTTCAGTTTGACCACTTCCTTAAACTCCTGCTATTACTCACAGTGATACTTTTCCAAAGAAAACCTCTGACTCTCCTGTAGGTATAATGGTTTGGTGGATTTATGTAAATCAAATATTTAGCTGGACTGTAGAAGTAAAGTGGAGACTATCTGTACCTGGAAATTACAGTGTCGGGGAGAGGGCACTGTAATGGAGTGGCAGAGCAGTTTGCCTTTAATGTCAGCCATTCTTCAGTGTCTTGTTTGGTTCTTTTGCAACATTGAGAGATTAGAGTATTAAAGAAGGATGTTTGCCTGAGTTTTACCATGTTTGTCTCGGAGCTTTTGATTATGAGAGCAGTAAGACCAAGATGCTTCAGCAGTGTCTCTGCTTCATTTATATTCCAAGTTCTGTCATGAAACTCTAGATGGCGCAGGCTGATGGATCTTTAACGCAAATTGATGATGTTCACAGAGTTAAACTACTTGGCACAAGCTGATTGGTTCATGTTCCATACGCAGCCAATAAGCTTACTGCTTAACATTTAAATGGCTGGCTAACAATCACTAAAGCAGTTTGCGGCGTGCTTTCAGAGTTCCTCTGAAACCCTCCACCTTCCCCAGCTCCACTTGTATAGATCTGCTGCGGGTTATTATATATGCTGTTTGTGCAGCAGCAGTATGTCTTAAAAACTCACAGCACCGTATCATAGTTGCTGAACTTGCTTTGCAGCAGCAGGAATAATCTACGACAACAGCAATAACCAACAGCAGTGGAGCAAATCTGTTCCGCCAAGTCCAACTACATTAACATTGTCATATCCATCACCATGCTAAAATCTTCAGAGAGTTGTCATGATAGAACTATTGTAATGAATCAAATCAAATCTCAATGGTTCGTTTGCAGCATTTCTCAAAAATAGTCACTGAAGTTCATTTTATTAATGGCAATTTATTGGCTTTAATTTTTTATTTAACTCTTTTATTAGTACTAATAATCTATAAATATTGCTGATATAAAGGAAAGTTATTAAATGACATTGTTTTCATTCAGTGGAACATAATACAGAAAACGAGCAAAGAACATTTACATTACCAAAGAACATCATACACTCCCATTAAAATCAGTGAAGCTATCTACACTGTATGATGAATAAATTTCTTATACTTACATCGCATGTACATCTGCACTTTATTGTTTATGATGAAAGAATTCGCGAGTCAGAATTCCGTCAGCGTGCGCTGAACAACAAAACTCCGTTGTTTCAGCGATTACTCATCTGAATGCCTCTGATTGGCCATTGCATTCATAAGCATAACATAATCGTGTGTGATTGGTTATAACGCGCAACACTGTTAAAACGCGGAAAAATAAATATAATGGAACAAATAAGCCCTAATATTAATTAGATAGTATTACTAACATGATAATAATTATAATAATAATTATAATAATCATCTTGCTATCGTCAGTGGCATCAGCCACAAGCGATATCTCTGACTACCGTCGATACACGATACTATCGTCTATCGGCACAACCCTAGTGGAAAACCATGAAGATACATGTCTTGATTTTTTGTAACTTGCATTCTTTATTCTTTATTTTTATTTTGAAAGGGGCAATGCACATTAATTAACATAAACACTCAAGTTTATTATATAAATGTGCCAGATTTAGCCATACAGGCAAATTTTCATCTGAAGTCCCTGTCAGGTTGATGGTAAAGTCCACAAGTACATAAATAAGAAACATTCCAGCAAACATAGTCACAATCATAAAATACTTTACATATAAAACCCAGAAGCAAGCAAGAAACCACTATTTCAAATTATGAAGACATGTTTGATTGTCCAATAACCAACCTTTTTATCGATTCAGAAAAAGAAGCAAAATATGTAATATTTCTTAGTTCTATAGGTATAGTATTCCAGCCATTAAACATTTTGAATCTACTTGACTGTAATTTATGGTTGAGCCTATAATTTAATGTTTTGCAGAAGACAATTGTTAATAAAATGACCATTTATAAATACATAAATATTGAGATTAAATATTGAATACCAGGAAAAGGCTTTCAGCTATATCATCTGATACACAACAAGAAAAAAAAAATATATATATATCTTTTTTTGTAATTTATTTGACCCCATTTGAAATTTGTCTTGTTTTAAGAATAAACCATTTTATTTTAACTGAAAAACAAAACAAAAATACTGATTAAAAAAAGAAACAGTGTTGTCACATGTGACGTATCTACTTGTATCAATACACTTGTATTGACTCTCGACACAGGTTGTCACATGATCTTCATTATCATCACTCCATCAGAGTTACGGTAATCTGCTAGATGTAGCCACCTCTTCCAGCATATTATTTGGATGTTTAACCCTTTTTTCCTTCTTCAAGGACAAATGGCAGATCTCCATGCGAAAGTCCCTGAGCTCTCCTGAAGCAGCAGATCCCTTTTCAGCGCCAGCTGTTCTTCCAGATAAACTCTGTGGCGTGCTCGCAGATTCTCTTAATATGATTTTGCGGGGTTGGGCTCAGGAGAATAGACGCAAAACAAGCGTGCCAGGAGAAAGAGAGCGTTGAATTTTGTATCAGCAGGCCCTCGTAGTGCAGCAGCACTTTTTAGTAGGCGGCCAGCTCATTCATGAGCAGATGTTCAGCGCAGGTCCAAGCTGCAGTTAGCATGAACTCTGCTGCCCTCTCAGCCGTTGGCTGCAAGGACGTTGGCAGCGACCCCGGCATCTGAGAATTCATTCCCGGCAAAAACGCCGAGCACCGCTTCGCCCAGACTCCTTTTTTTAGCCGCGTTGCCCATCCCACGAGCTGGCCAGAAATGGAGGAGGGCTTTTCTTTTGACAGGCCATCAGTCTTCGCTCTGACACTGATGAAAGACTCGCCCGGGTCAACTCAGGGGACCGGCCCCAAAACTTCCTGAAGACAATTTTGCTCAAGTTTGTCATTAATTTTTATGACGTCCTCTGTATGAAAATAAGCCACCTGGCACGAAAACCAAAACAGACTCTTTTGGAAAACAAAAGCGGCCTTTTTTGCATCATTTGCGTGAAGGTACCCTTGAAATGGGGAATTGCTATATCAGATTAACGCAGGTGGTTTAAGGGAACGCGCTGGTCAGGTTGGTTGCTACGCTAAAGCCCAGCTGCTGCTGTGGTTAGCCAGGTGGTTCGGTTAGCGTGGTGACCTCAATACACCTCGAGAGACTCGAATAACAACCAATACAGATGAAGCATTATCGTGTTTCATTTACATAACACCGTTATGTTGCAGTGCGTCCATGTAGCCCTTTCCCATCAAACGACTGAACGCCAAACCGGCATATGTTCCACACGGAAAGTGTGAAATGTTATTCTTCTCTTTCGTTGCGGTGCATGTGAAGCTGTAATTGAAGAATGATGAGGGTTTTAGTCCTTTTTTTTTCTCCTTTCAAGCACTTGTATCTTCAGCACGTCTCCTACTTCACACTATCTAATTGGCCGTTTTCAGGTTGGGTTTATGAGAGCAAAACTAATTAGTGTTTCTAAATTCAGAGAGCAAGAAAGAGGGAGGGGGAAAAAAGGAAAGCATGGTTGAATGGATTGTTCTGGTTTCCTCTCTGGTGTCAGGCTCATAACAATGAAATAAAGAGTCTAATCACTTTCAAACTGCTCGTTTTTTTTTTTTTTTAAACCAACACTGAATGTCACTTTCTCTCCTGGCATTTTGTTTGGCACGATCACAGGCCCGGGGATAAAGCGAGCACTTGCCCTCTTTACAAACTTTTTCCTTTGTAATTCGTGGGAAGGCTTTGCAGGGGAAAAACAATGCGCGTGTTTTTAGGTGGGGTTGTTTCTTCTTTTGATTCGGAACGTCCTGGTGAAAGACGGGTGGAGGGTGGAGAGTTTACAGTAGCGTTGACTTTTCGGCCGTTACCTTTATTCAGAGAGCTCCAGCTGCAGCGCGCCCTCAGGAAGGCCACCGCGGGAGCGCACACACACACACGCCGGCCCCCGGTGTGAAAGAAAGCCCTGTTTGAGTTGGCACAACTTTTGCTGCCTCTGCAAGAAAGACAACAGCGGCGGCCGCGCTGGCCAGGCGGGCCGTCGTTCTTCTAATCAGGATGTGCCTTTTCCACCTCTCTCAGGAAACACATTTATGCCTCTCCCTCTCCTCAGCGGCAAAAAAGCGAGGGACGGACGGAAGGGAGAAAGTCGGTGAAGATGAGTGACAGGATCGGAGTCCGGAGGGGATTGGGCTAATCTGAGTTTAGTAGTGCTCCCTCAACACCTCACCCTCCCTGCCTCCACTGGGCCTTCATTTATATTGAATAAAAAAGTTTATAGGTCAGTTTAACAATGTGCCGTAAAACTCGCACTATTTTTATTTTTCCACCTCTCCGCCGGAGGGATTCGCATGGAGAGGGCCAGTAATTAAGAAGCTGTGAATCCAGGGTTAGGGAGGAAGAGTGTTTAAATGCAATTAGAGCGTCCGCTCGAATCAATTTGAACCCAATTACAGTTTTCATGAATGTGCTATTATTTGTTTAATCAAGGGAATTTTGCCCTTTTAAGATGCTAAAAATGTATCGCGAGATTATTTAAACGCGGAGTGAAAATAAACTCGTCGGAAGCGGGTAATGAACAATTGTTTCAAAGTGACCTCTCTCGGTGTGCCCTCCCTCGTTACCTTGTTCTTCTCTGAAAAGAAGACTCCATTTGATTTGTCTGGAGATAAAGCTATCACAATATCGGCTGGATAATTAGCACAAAATCCACATCAGTTTTTTTGGGAACTGGATGTGGAACACCGGTCTCTGATGATTTGAAGTTTCAGTAGATTTCCTCATTTCTCACTGATGTTTTTTCTTGTCTGTCCTTCTCTCCTTTCTGTCTGCGTTCTCTTCCACCAATCTTTCTACCTGCTGTCTGTCCTGCAGGCAGGACAGTGCAGTGGTCCAGCCCTGTGGATGCTGAACGGTACGCCTCAAGTTTTTAACAGTGTATGTGTGTGCCTAGCCACACTTTTGAATGAATTTCATTGCAATAGATAACTAAATATTAAACCAAGTGGAATTTGCAAGCAATTGATGCTAGACCTTCTCAAAACTGCACTTTTTTTAAACACCTCTTGTAATTACTTTTAACCAATTGGTCCCAAAGTCATTTTTAGTGGATATATGAAGTCAGTTCACCTCAAGTTACCTTCTTTGTTATCCGTTCACTTCAGTTCATGCAAATGCAAATTTAGGATATGTGTGGTAGTTTACTCTTTTTAGTCTTCTTAACAGTAATTCTATAAAGCCCAACAAACATTTTTTTATGAAATGTTTTTATTGATTTATTTAAAATAAATGTTACTTGGTTTAACATTTAATACATATCTAATGCAGTTTTTATTAATTCATTCATTATTTTTTTTATTTAATTGCCGCTTTGTTTGTTTGTTTATTTATTTACAGCAAATGCCATGTGGTTTGTTTGTTTATTTATTTATTTATTTATATCAAATAATTGAGATTCAGTCTTTTTGTATGTTTGTTTATGTATTTATTTAATTACAAGAAAATTCTACATGGTTTAATATTTATTTAGAATAGATTCTACTTTGTTTGTTTAATATTTTATTTTTAGAATAAATTCCACATTGTTTACTTTTTTATGCAGTATAAATGCTTGGTTTAATTAAGAATTAATTTGCATGTTTAAAATAATTGCCACTTGGTTTAATATTTAATATGTGTGTAATGCAATGACATCCCTATATTTGTGTAGAAGTGTGAAGTAATTGACCCTTTCAAACACTTTCAAAACACATCTGTTAGAATTTGCTCACGGTTTAGATGGCTTTCTGAATGCTGTCAGCATGTACACAAGGTCCTTTCTAGCTAATCAGAATTCTAAGACTGTACACAGTTTGACTAGTATACCGCCACAGACCTCTTTGATCCATGTCTCTCGTGGCCTTCCCTTCCTGTGTGATGTGTAAACACAACAAACAAACCATGACACTGCCCACATGTCACAGTGCCAGTCTGTGTTCAAATTCTGTTGTTTACAGTAAACATTCATATATATTCATGACCTTGAGTCATAAAAAGCATCCTTTTGCGGCATATGACATGCCATATTAGTGCTTATTATCATATTGTCTCTAAAACAGGTGCTCAACAAACATTAGCCCACGTATATTTGGAGTGTTTCTAAATGTCTCAACTCAGTCATCAGTGTTTGATTTGAATTATGTATTTTAGTTTTTTTTTTTTTTGCATGCAGTGTATTGCATTGTGAGATTAATGGAGCTCCTGCAAAGTCTGTATTCCTACCAGCCTGGCCAGCAACGTTTTAGAGAAGTGCTTCTAACAGTTACGCCCGCTTGCAAAACTGTGTACGTTACAGATTGATAGTAAATGGAAAACATGAATGTAAATGGTGTCATTTGATAATGTAAATGGAGAGCCGAGCTATTTTCCCCCACCCCCATAAAGAAATCAGCCCTATTTACATAGTCAGTTGTGCTTATGAGACTTATGGAAATCAATCTCTTGTCATTTTCCAACTACACAATTTCACGTTAGTTCAGAGATCACAGATTTGAAAGTCAATATGGTGACATTGGCTCGGCTCCATGTTGGCAGCATGAATTAAACATAACAAACAAAACAACACACTCTCCTGACAAACTTTTAGATGAGTTTTAATGCATTAATCTTTCACATTGCATGCGAATGAACCCAAAATGCATGATTATTTCCTCTTGAATATTGATTTTTCGGGGCGTTTTACGGAAATGTTGCACTTATGAAAGTCCAAACTTTTGGCGATCCGAGTTGAAAAGCACTCCAAATATGTTTAAGTGCAGGTTATTATTTAGTTATTCAGATTTATGACCATAACAGAAAGCGAAAGCAGGTGGATTCGAGCCTGTCCATTAAAGTGTACTTTGCAGGGTCCGGTTTTAAAGTGGCCAGCCAGGTGGCTGTGACAAGAGTTATTGAGGAGGGTCTTCGCTTAAACGTCTTGCACATGGTTTACCACTTTCTTTAAAAGCACTTTTAGGACTCATAATTGCTACTTACATGTTGCAGATGGGTTATGACTAATGAGAGGACTACATTTATGACTCCGCATGAGGACATGAAAGCTCTCCTTGCTGTTGAATTTAACCTTTTCAATATTGACTAATTATTTAGGTTAGAAAAGATCTTAAGACACACCGCAGTACTTTAATACATTCCATTAGTTACATTAGTCGACACCTTTCAGAGCTTTCCACCTCATTTTTTTTAATATCTTGATTGTGACGTCTTTAACTGTGGCTTTGCACGCTTGTGCAGAATATGACATTTAATAATGGAACCGTGCAGGTCGGTTGGCTGTTTAACAAGACCTTTGAGTTTCGTTCACACCGTGGCAGAATGTGGCCCAAATCTTTTTTTGATTCCTTTGTTAGTGATATGTGAACAGTGTAATATTAAACGGATACCTGATTTTAATTTTTATTTGGACAGAAGTGCAACGTTAGGTGTGATGCCTGTTGTCTGACTAGTTTTTGAGTGGCTTTTTGTCCATACTTGTTGGCTTTGAGGTCATATATATACTAATGTACTCCTAAAAGCAGACAAAACAGACTTTTAAAATCTATTGGCCGTTTTAAAAAAAAGGTTTGCTTCGTTATGTTCCACCCCAACTTCCTGTGTAAATAGGAAATACTTCAGCACAGGAAAGAAAACTTTGCTCGGCAAGCTATTTCTTTAAAAGATCATGCGAACAACCTTACAAAAAAGAAACTGAGCAGATAATTGGACTTGCACACTGTGGTTTGCGCTACCAACGTAACTTTGGTTTCACATATACAGAGTATTATTTTTTCAGTTTTTGTTTAGTCATTTACACTACCATTCAAAAGTTTGGAGTAGGTAAGGTTTTTTGTTTTTTTTATGTTTTTGAAATATTGCTCAACAAGGCTGCATTTATTTGATCAAAAATATAGTAAAACAGCAATATTGTGAACTATTACAATTCAGAATAACTGTTTTCTTTTAATATTTTTTAAAGTGTAATCTATGTGACGCAAAGCTCAGTCATTACTCCAGTCTTCAGTGTCACATGATCCTTCAGAAATCATTTTAATATGCTGATTTGGTGTTAAAGAAACATTTCTTATTGTTATTATCAGTGTTGGAAAAAGTTGTGCTGCTTAATATTTTTGTGTAAACCATAACCAATTTTTTTATTTTTTTTTTTCCCAGAATTTTTTGAGAAAATGCAAAAGTTTGTTTGAAATGGAAATCTTTTGTAGCATTATAAATGTCTTTACTGTCACTTTTAATCAGTTGACTGCATCCTTAATGAATAAGAAAAAAAAATCTTTCAGAAAAATCTTACTGACCTTTTGAACTTTTGAACGGTGTATATGTATAGCCTACTATATGTATATGTGTGTTTAAGTGAGCTATGTAATTAAGTCTTTAGCAAAGCAGTTCAGTTTACTCATTCAAACCGAAATCACTTTTTTGTATATTTTATAGTGTATCAGTTTAAAACATTTTGGTTTAACACACTGCATTTAATTAACAATTAATAATTTAATTTAATTATAAGGCAAATTGCCTCATCTTTTAGTAATTTTGAGCTTTAAAACTCCGGATCCAGTCTGTTTTTATACACACACACACACACACACACACACACACACACACACATTGGCAATGTCATATTGTTCAGAATGGTGACATAAGGGTCAATCCCATCAGTCCTCCCCCTCTCTCCCTCTGCTCAGTGGTACCCTGCTTCACACAGCTCTGCCAAAGCGACTCACCCCAGCCTGTTTGTGCCCTGTCTCTGTTTGTAAATACACAGACGGAGGACACGGGTGCTGCTCTGGGTCATGGCTGCCTCGCGGACGCTCCAAACCCAATGTGACAAGCAACAGATGAGTCACAGCACCCCAAATCTAAAGAAGCCGACAGTTTCTCTCTCTGTCTCGCACTCTCTCCCCTTGGGTCACGTGACGATTAGTGACACCTTCGCTGGCATCCTATAGGCCTCTGCCAAACCCTGCCATATCATCCTGCCTCAGTGCCATTACCCTCCCCCTTCCCTTTTTCTGTTTATCTTTTAACCCAGTCCAGTCATATTCAGAGCTGTGTTCTCTTTTAAAGATCTGGCTGCTTTTCTCCATGCCAACTAAACACGAGGCATGTTTCTTTGGATCAGTTTATATAAATAGTGATGGCTTTTCTTTGACGTTTTGTATAATATTTGATTTATGTTTTAATTATACAAAATGTACAATACATATACAGTACATACACAGATATACAAATATAGAATACTAATTATATATTCAAATTTTATATAGAATTTTAATTAGAATTCTACTTAATTTTACTTAATTATACAGTATATTTAATTTAAATTTGAAAAAAAAAAATGTACTTGTCCGTGTGTATAATTAAAATAGAAACATTTTAAGAATCTCTAAAGATGCTTCATTTGTGAATTTAAATACACAGTACGGTAGAACATGAGAAATAAATCTTTCTTTCTTTATTGTGGCACATTTGAAGGGCCATATCTTTTCACTGCTTGTTCCTAAAAAATATGTTCATCATGTTCACACACTTATTCTTGACATTTTTGTAAGATATTCAGTCATATTTTTTTCTTTAGAGACAGATAGACAGCACCGAGTCAGTATCTCCCTCTCAAAGTCAAAAGATCAAAGCATCTCTCATCTTGTCCTTCTCAAAATCTGAAAATCCAGCTTGTCTTTTTTTTTTTCTCCAGCCACACAAAGTAACAAACGCTAGCCAGCGCACTCGGCCTCAGGATTACGATCCTTCTAGCTTAATCTGTCCATCTTTTTAAGCAAATAGCATGGCCTTGCATAACCGAGGAGAACAACGGGCGTACATAGTTCTCGTTGACCCGATGAGGGTGTTTAAATGCTAAGCTGGATGGGATGATGAGCCCGGA